GCATGGAGGTGTGAGGACAGAGATACCCCTGAGGAGCCTCACTGAGTTGTAGGTGCTATACTTAATATCATTAGCACTGGGCCCTAGCCCCTAGTCACCCCCACCCAGATTGCTGCCTTAGGCCTGGCAGCCTTCCCTGCTTCCAGCCTCTCTCCATCCAGGCTGCTCTGCACTTTGAGTTGGAATTTCAGAGTTGGAAGGGCCAGACGCACATTAACATTCCAAAGCACCACATTCATCATGTCATCTGCCTGATTCCAAACCTTCCATGGCCCCCACCGCCCACCAGATCCATGAAGAGCCCCTCAGATCAGCTGGCGAGACCCTCCCCACCTGCCGTCTAGGCCCCAGCCTCACCCCTCTGTCTTCCTGGCCACCAGCCTCCCCCAGGCAGCCAACAGTCACCCTGTCCCATGAGCGTGTACCCCACCTCTTGAGATGTTTTTCTCCCCCACACAGAATCAGCCAGTCTGTCTACCTAAAACTGTCTACCACCCCAAGGAACTTTACTGGGAGCTGGGGGGATGCAGACTTACACTCCTGCCCCCAGACAAGATGGGGTTTGGAGAAGGGCATTCAGTGGCACAAAGAGGCCTTGCCTCTGGGGAAATATTTCTTCCTTGATTTCAGTATTAAAGCCTGTCTGTGAATGGGAAGAGCTGGGGAGGGCTGTCAGGGCCACACAGAAGACATTGTTTCCTCAATGAGCACATCCTCCACTTCTCAGCCCCTTTCTCTGCCTGTGGGGCCCCTATTCTCACGCCTCGCGGCCCCCTCTCCCTGGAGGGCGGAGCTGCAGGAGCTGAGGCTGCACTTCTGCATTGCGGCTCTGCTGAGACAGAGAGAGAGATTGCCACCTATTGACAGACATGTCACCTACAAAGAAGAAGGCTTGGGTAACTCGGGTGGCTTCCCCCCTTTCTCTCCGATCTTCAGCAGGGGTCGCTGGGGTAGGTAGACCTTTAGTTTCTCTTGTTCAGTCGTTCCTTCTCCTCTCAGGATTATCATTCCAGTGTAAGGTGGGAAGGAGAAAATGGGGACATGACAGCCCAAGGTGTAATGGCTGCATCTCAGTGTGAAAATTGAAAAGAAATTGCCCACCGTAGTAATAGCCACCTCTGGACGTGTGGAAGGAGCCCTGGTGGTGCAGTGGTTAAACGCTCGGCCGCTAACTGAACGGTTGGTGGCTCTAACCCGTCAGCTGCTGTGCTGGAGAAAGATGTGACAGTGTGTTTCCATAAAGATTACAGTGTTGGAAACCCTATAGAACGGTTCGGATCTGTCCTACAGGGTCGCCACGAGTCGGGATCGACTCGATGGCATGGGGTTTGCTTTGATTGTCAGGTGTGTGGCAGCGGCACTCTGCTGCGTGCAGCACGTCTCACTCGATCCTCACCACATTCCTGTAAGGAGTCCCTGGGTGGTGCAAATGGTTAACGCGCTCAGCTGCTAACCGAAAGGTTGGAGGTTTGGGTCCACCCAGAGGTGCCTCAGAAGACAGGCTTGGCAATCTACTTCTGAAAAATCAGCCATTGAAACCCTATGGAGCACAGTTCTATTCTGACGCACATGGGGTCGCCTTGAGTTGTAATAGACATGAGGGCACCTGGTTAAGTGGTTTCACCCTGTAAGGGGTCAGGATTCCCATTTTACACAGGAGGAAACTGAGGTTTAAAGAGAGTGCCTTGCCTATGACCAGGGCAGGGAAGGTGGGATATGGGGAATTCAGATCTAAATCTCTGACCCACTCTTAACAGCTTTCGCTTGACATTTGCTAATTATGCAGATCGCATCCCTGTCAGAATGCTAATGTACTTGAAACCTTTCCTTAACTTTAAATCATCTGGGTATGAAAATAAAAATATGAAAAACTTTTTTCCCTTAGGATGGGTAGAATCCTAGCTCTGCCACTTTCTAATTATTTAACCACTAAGGCTCAGTGGCATAGTGGTTAAGAGCTATGGCTGCTAATCAAAAGGTCAGCAGTTCAAATCTACCAGGCGCTCCTTGGAAACTCTATGGGGCAGTTCTACTTTGTCCTATAGGGTCGCTATGAGTTGGAATCGGCTCGACAGCAACAGTTATTTTTTTAAGGCTCAATTTCCTCATTTATAAAATGAGGATTGTTGTTGTGTGCCGTTGAGTGAATTCTGATTCATAGAGACCCTACAGGACAGAATAGAACTGCCCTATAGGGTTTGCAAGGCTGTAATCTTTACAGAAGTCTGGTCTTTTCTCCTGTGGAGTGGCCAACCTTTGGGTTAGCAGCCAAGCTTTAACCACTGTGCCACCAGCGCTCCTTAAAATTAATGTCTAATTTATGGAGTTGTTGTAGAGCTTAAATAAGATAATGTGTAATAAAAATCACTTAGCAGGCTGTCAGGTGTTTATAAATGGAAGCTCAGTTATCTAATGTCTGAAAACCTGGATTGGAATCCTAGTTCCTCTCATTTTTAGTTTGGGGACCTTGAGCAAGTCAGTTAACCTTTCTGATCTTCAGTTTCCTCATCTGACAATAATTTGCATGTTCTTGCATGGCTGTCCACACAGTAAGATGAAATCACACCCCGTATGTAAAAATAATTCTACTGAAATATTGAAGCCTTGGTGGCACAGTGGTTAATAGCCCGGCTGCTAACCAAAAGGTCGGCGGTTGGAATCCACCAGCCACTCCTTGGAAACCCTACGGGGCAGTTCTGCTCTGTCTTGTAGAGTCGCTATGAGTCGGAATTGGCTTGATGGTAATGGGTTTGTATTTAGGTTTTTACTGAAATATTAGTGGCTATATTTTAAGTATAAGGTCTTTTTCTTTAAATGGATTTTTTAGATGCCTTTTTTAAAAAATAACTTGGGTTGAATTCACCATATGTAAGAAGCTTTTATTTTTAATACTCTCTAAAAACAGCAACATAAGAAAAAAAGGAGACTCTATAAATGCCACAGGCTCTTCTGCAAAAAGCTTGGTAAGGCAGTCACATAAACAACACTTCTCACCGACAGCTTGCTTTACAGTTTATGATGTACTTCCAAATAGATTACCCCTATCCCATTTTATCTTCACAGGGCAGGGCAGGTATTTACTCTGATGTTACAGATGAGGAAACTGAGGCTGAAAGACTTAAAATGACGAGTTTCGGCCACATAGCTAGCACCAGTGGTAACGGTCTGTGGAGCAGCGTGCTGGTGTGCCTTGGAGCGTAGGCATATGTCCGAGCTGGCTTTGTTACGCATCTGTATGTCTGTGACTCGTGCGACACGCCCGAATGACACAAAGAGGCCTCTTCTCGGGAGAATTTTTTCTTCAGTGTTGGATTTTGTATTTGTCTGTATCCCTCGATTAGAGTGTTATTTCCTGGAGGGGAGGGGGGACGGTAATCTTACCCGAGATTTTTTACACTGGCCAACGATAGCCTTTTCTCTGCCTTTTCAGTGTTGCTTTACATTCCCAGGCTCCATTTCCACAAGAGCCTGGAGAACATGGTTGATTTTATCTCCACTCCCTGTTGTAGGGAACAGCAGTTCTCCAGTTTCCCAGCCTTCTGGGAATTACTTCCTCTTTTTTTCCCTGCCTGCCAGCTTTATTGAATTCTCCTTAGCAACACCCAAAAACGAATTGGTTTAGCAACAGCTTGTGAACCAATGATATTGGAAAGAATTCTAGGCCAATAGGAGCCCTGCATGACGGGCAAGATGGCTTATTAGAGACAACAATAACCTAGAGTTGGCCAAGCAGCCTCCAGGTGGCAGCAGACCAGCTGTATTGGGCACAGTCCCTCAGTGCTCAAGGACCTACTTTATTTTTGGTTTTTATTCCTGGGTATACAGAATTTACTGATTTATAAGAATTTTATAGGTACAAGCTTTGTGGGTGTGAGTTTTCTGTATGACATGGTAGATGTGGCCTGGAGCATGGAATCTTAGCTTCTCTCCCTGCCTTTATCACAGCTAGTCCTATGACATCATCTTGGCTCCTGCCATCTTTGTTGCTTTCGTCACAGGCAGTGCCAGTCCAGTGACTCTGCCTGCCCAGCCAGTGAGGGTAGGGGCTGGAGAAAACAGGTTCTCCTTTGTTTAACCACCACGATTGCTGGGCTGATGGGCAAATGGGGTGGGGCTGGCTCTCTGCCACCAGTTAATGTAAGGGAAGGAATATGTCACCTACAGATTAGTGCCTACCCGACACCTACATTTTCAGATGGTGTAGACTGAAGCTATTCCCTACCTTGTCAGTTCTGCTGCATACATCTGAGCAGGAATGCCTGTCCAATGCAAGTTTGAAGGTAGTTCATTCTTTATCATGTGGTTTGTTTCTCTTAGTCTTGAGGCCAGAGGCTAATGTGGACGGATGGCTGAATAGGGCCATAGTGAATGATAGCAGGTCCATGTCTCCAGTGGTTTAGCCGGCCTCCGGTTGCCCTTTGAGATGATATGGCCTTGAACACCACTCAGTGAGGTTTTGGTCCTTCAGATATCCATCCATCTTTCACATGTTTCCGTTTCTGCCCGGCTTACTCTTGCTCAACCATTAAAAATCAGTTCAGGCATCTTCTCTTCAGAAAGTCTGATTTGGTTCTCACTCTCCTCCCCTCCTCCAGCTCCTGGTGCTCCTGTTGTTGCACGTCCATATTGCTTTCTAAGTATCTCTTTACTTTTCAGTTTCCTCTGAGTCATGTTGCTTCCTGAGGGCGGGGGCTATGCCTTGATAGCCCCAGCCCTTAGCGAAGTGTTGACATATACAAGGTGCTCAATAAGCATTTTGAGAAGAAAGGAGGCAAGAAAGGAACTCTTAGTCTACAAAAACAATTGTAGTGATTCAGAACTACCTGGGCCTGGGCTGGAGCAGTGCTGGGGAGTGTGGTGCTGACTGTTTAAGAGCCTTCAACACCATGAGCTCTGACTCCAGGCCAAAGCCCAAGCCTAAGAGATGGTTGCCCCCATTGACTCATCCTGTGATGGCTTCATCCGAGTAATATGGTTTCCTTTATGGTTTTATATCTCAGGAAGAGCTAAGGAGCAAATCCAAGATCTGTGCCAATGTGTTTTGTGGAGCTGGCCGGGAGTGTGCTGTCACCGAGAAGGGAGAGCCCACCTGCCTCTGCATTGAGGTGAGCCACGAGGTCCAGAGCCAGAGGATGACGGCAATGACTGTATGTGGCTACCTTGCTGGAGCCGTCAGTCAGCGGAGCAGTGCCAACTGGTTCACCATCTTTATAGATGCACACCTTTGTCTATCTGAAAGACGTGGCATTTCTCCCAGGGGTTAAAAAATCATGTGAATGCAGAAATGTTTTTTTCTCTTTTAAAAAAATGTTTGCTTTATAATTTTTTATTTATTTATTTTATTGTACTTCAGGTGAAGGTTTACAGAACAAATAGTTTCTCATTAAACGGTCAGTACACATATGGTTTTATGACATTGGTTAACAACCCCACGACACATCAACCCTCTCCCTTCTTGACCTTTTTTTTTTGGTGAAAATATACATAGCCAAAGATAGCACCATTTCAAAAATTTCTGCATGCACAGTTCGGTGACATCAATTACATTCTTCCGGTTGTGCTGCTATTCTTACTTTAGATGAAGGTGCTTTATAGATTTTTTTAGTTGCAAAAGTAACACGTGCTTTATATAAGTCAAGTAGTACAGACATTGGTAAGGATAAAATTAATAATCTTCCCCAATAATCCTCCAATCCCCTTAGTTCGAGGCAACCAGGATTAACAGTTTGATATCTGTTGCTCTACGTATTTTTTTATGCTCATGTAAACATATAGGATTTCCTCCTATTTCATACAAAAATGGGGTCATGATAGATATCGATAATTTGCATTATTCACTCACTAAGAGATCATGAACAGTACATATAGTTCTAGCTCATTTTTTTAACAGCTGCATATTTAGTTACATGAAAGAACTAGATTTACTCAACCATTTTCCTACAGATGGACACTGAGGTGGTTTCATGTTTTTTTTTAAACACTATGAACAGTTTAACAACCTTGGGCAGATATCCTTGCATGCTGCTCCCTTTATTTTTGTAGGGTGGATTACCCCAAGTAGACTTGCTAAGTCAAAGGAATTGCACATTTTAATGGAATGCAGGTTTTGTAGGGTTTTTTAAAAATGAAGCTTAAAAAGTGAGCTTTCAAGAAATACCTTATTTGCCTCTTTTGTAGGCAGAATTCTGGTAAGTTCCCACTCCTCAGGACAGCATAAGTACCTAGGAGAGATGTGAGCCTTGTTTTATTTTTATTTTTATTTGTTTTCACTTTCTGTAAAAAGCCTGGAAATTCATTTGTGTTTCTGCAAATATATACATTCACCTTAGTCCTCAGGTTAAGGATCCCGATCATTGCCCCAGAAAGGGAGGCTCCCAACTCTGAAACCTGAGCCCCAGATCTTTCTGGGGATCCATTTGCCCCGGTGTGCCCAGACACAGTGCGCTAGCGTGAGCCTGGATTTCAAGCTAGAACTATCCGTGCTGACCTGGAGGCTTGTCCATGATACATTAATGAGTGAGAAATGCAGGTTCTCTGTCTGGAGTCCTGAGGTGTAGTCTCAGCTGAGCCACATACTAGTTGTGTGATTTTAAACAAATCAGTTGGATGCTGTGAGGACAGAGACCATGTTTGGTTTTGCTCAGCACCCAGTGCATAGTAGGCACTCAATAATGAATATTGGTGACATGAAGTTTGTCTTTCTGGGCTTTAGTATTCTCGTCTGTAGGTTGGGGAGATTGGGCTAGGAAGCCCTTCCAGTGCAGTGTTCTGGGTTTCTCGTCGCCCATCGCATGTGCTTGTCTTTGCTTTGGCCCCTTATTATGAGGTTTGAGCTGCTTACTGCCCCTTCCTCCTTTTACAAACCACAAAAGTCTAAATGAACTGAGCTTACCTGTGACTGTGGCACTTTAAGTTGCCAAGGCAGAACCTAGTTGCCAAGTGAACTTTATTCCATTTCCCTGGTCATAGTGATTCTGTGGACTACTTCACAAACTCTCATGCACCCCCTCACCTCCACCCCCAGCCTCACAACAGGAGTTGTGAGATGAGGAGAGCAAAATGGCCCCCAAATGCTGAACAAAGCAGGAGAGCAAAGATCCTTCTAGTCAGACCCCAGAAGAATTGGGGTGTGTGTGTGTTTGCCTGCCTTTACTCTCTCCTCATTCCCAGCTGTCAGCTCTGGCTGTTTTATGTCACAGAACGTTGGAATTTTAAGGGATCTTAGGTCATCCAGAGACATTGAGTGACTTTTTCCAAAGTGACAAAGTATCAGAGAATTCAGATTCCCGACTTCCAATTAAATACCCTTTCTGTTAATGTTACAGGGTAAGGAGGGTATGTTCCTTCACAGAGTAGAAGAGATGACACTACTGGATCAGCACAGAGGGCCATGGGGACTCCAGCAATGAGTGGGTAGGGTCACTGGGAACAGAGGCTCCATCTCTACTGGTGGGGCGTTCCCTCACAAGTGGCTCTGTGTGTATGCATGTGTGTGTCAGCATCCATGACTGCATGACACGAACACCCTTCGGCGGATCTATTTCAGCAATGCAAACCTCACAAGAGGCCTGTGTGTGGCAGTAACGGCAAGACCTACCTCAACCACTGTGAGCTGCATCGAGACGCCTGCCTCACTGGATCCAAAATCCAGGTCAATTACGACGGACACTGCAAAGGTGAGGTATGCTCCCACCACCACATCCCAACTCAGCCATGGGGAGCAATGGAGCAGAACGCGTGGCCTGGCTTCCTGGAGTCCATTCCTCCCTGACCACAGCTGCCCAAAGCCACGGAGACAGCCTGGTTGCTTGGAGATGCTTTCTCTTGCTCTCTTGAGCCTGCTGGATTAGCCCTGGGTGATTTGGGTTTCTGCCCAGGGCTTCTAGCGGTCAGACCCCTAAGGGGGCTTCCAGAATGGTCTGCAGCTGGAGAGTAGATAAGGCAACTACATCAACAGTCAAAGTAATATGGAAGTCCTTAAGTGAATTCTACACCATTTTACATTTCCCATCCTTTTTTTAAATTTGGGTAGCTCTTGGCACTGGTGGTATTACCTGTTCTCTTTTTTGCACTCACACTACCAAGAGGCAGGGGGTCCCACAATTACTGCACCCCCTGAGCTAATGTTGCTTATTAGACACAGCCCCTGGCAAGCCCCAGCCCTGCCCAGCCCATCTCAGCATTGAACTTCCTTGGAGAAATAAGAAGCTGTCTCCCAGGTGTTGGTCTCTCTCTATTCCCTTCACCATAATGATTCTATATATGAATTCACAAAGTCCCAGTGGCCGCCCCTCAGCCCAGCAGGAGGAGGTGTGGGACCAAGAGGGAAACTCAAAAAAACCCGAAAACCCGTTGTCGTTGAGTCGATTCCAACTTATAACAGCCCTATAGGAAACAAAGTAGAACTACCCCGTAGAGTTTCCAGGCAGCAACTGGTGGATTTGAACTGCTGGCCTTTTGATTAGTAGCTGAGCTCTTAACCACTGCACCACCAGGCAAAGCAGGAAATAAAAGATCCCCATGAAGCCTTGGACGGAGAGGAGACCACCTCAAGACAAAACGATGAAAAGATTACAAACCCCCCACTTAATGTGGGGCAGTTTTTTTATTTTATTTTTATTTTTTTCCTTAGGTCATGGAAGCTCCATAGACACATCCAATGTGGGGCAGTTTTAATTCTAGTAAATACACAGTTTTCTTTTTCTTCATTTTGTATTATGTATCTTCTCCTTTTTTCTTGCAGAGAAGAAACACATAAGTCCATCTGCCAGCCCAGGTGAGTGCCCTTTTTTTGGAATAACCTGCATCATCAGGAGGAAATTCTTTTCATGATGGAAGCGTTCCACAAGCCCAGCCAGAACTTGTGACCCCAAACTAGTGTCAGAACTTGTGACCCCAAACTGGTCGCTCCTCCACACAGCTCAGAAAAGCTGCAAGACAGCATTTTTTTGTGCTTCAATTCAAGTAGCTGGCTGGGTCAGAATGTTGGCTGTGGTTTCCAGCTTTGCTGAGTAGCGATTGAACTGTGAGGACAGGAAAACCATTGAGCCCTTTGCTCTGGAAAACACGCTAATGTCAGGAACTGGCAGAATGAGAAGGCCCAACTCTTTTGGAAAGGAGATACTTGGAAATGCCAGTAACACTGCTTCTGTCTCCATTAATAGAAGTTGAGATTTCATGATGGTTTATAGTTAATGGTCCTCTTTATCATATACTTTTTCTTTAGGTCCTCACAACAACCTTGGGAGGTACATCTTACCGTAATTACCTTATCAATGAAGAAATTGAGTTTCAGAGAGGTTAAGTGAATTTCCCCAAATTGCACAGCTAGGAAGTGGCAGAGGAGGGAAGAGTACCCTGATTTTCATTCTCCTGGGCCGGTGCCCTTTTCACATCCCAAAATGTGTTGTCTTCTAGAAATTCCCTTTTGCCAAGGCTCTCCTTTCCTTGCTTTTCCATCCACCCTACTCTCAGCCCAGTCTGTCGTTCCAACGTGGCTGCCAACACTGTCCAGTGCGGGCCTTAAACACGGCCCTTTCCTGGCCTAGTTTTCTGTAGTCTGTAATAAAGGATGGTGCAGATGCTGTAAAACTTTAAGTGGGAGCAGGAAAAGCCTTCTCTAGAGACTCACATCCAGTAGCGTAAACAATTGTAATGCTCTCATGTATTATTTCAGCTCATCTTTGAACCAAGACAGCTGTTTTCTTGATTGATTCCCTCCCCCCACCCCCCAGCTTCCTAAAGTTAACGAAAATGTCCTTTACGTTTTTGCTCAACTCTTTTCTCACCTGAGCAACGTAATCTCCCGGTTGTAGCCTTCTCAATCTTTATAAATTTTGTAGAGATGTGAGCTTGAATCCTGTGTTAACACACTTTGCGGTTATGTACCCTGGGTTTACGCCTCTGTCAAGTGTGTGTGATGACCCTGTCTCCCTGGAGGGTAGTGAGATGACGAACGCAGAGCCCCCGCCAGTCGGTGCTCAGCGGCATTGGGGTCCTTCCCTCACCGCTCAGCTCTCCTTCTCTGTGTCCTGCAGTTGTTTGCTATCAGTCTAACCGCGATGAGCTCCGGCGGCGCATCATCCAGTGGCTGGAAGCCGAGATCATCCCAGACGGCTGGTTCTCTAAAGGCAGCAACTACAGTGAAATCCTAGACAAGTACTTTAAGGTAATCCGGAGTTGGGGTCAAGACTTTTCAGCCCCAGCTTCGTCCGCCCATTGCCTGATCACCTCTTCCAGAGCAGGAGGAAATGCACACGTGCGTAGAGGCCCCCGCGTGTTCCCGGTCGTAGATCCTTCCCATGGAACTGTGAAAGTTGTCTTCTGAGCAGCTCGATCCGTGGGAAGCCAGCAGTCAGGCCGTTCTGATCTAACCCACACGTGCTGCTTCCTTTGGACCATTAACACCGCAGAAGTCTTGTCAGTGGGAAATATGGCTTAGGCTCCATCCCCCTACCCTGTATGACACTTTATAGGGCTGGCCACCAATACAGAATACCTTCAGATCACCCCCAGACCCAGGCCCCTTCAGCTTCTTTTCCGCCCAGTTTGACATTTCTCTAAGTCGTTAAGGTGATTATCTATGGCCTGCAGTAGTCAATGGACTGGTATTTCACTGGCCCAGAGATTCTTCATGAACCTGGTTATTGGCTGCTCTCCATCATATTTTGTTGAAGAGATAGAGTGTTCCAGTTGAGGGCAGGAGAAATGCTGCTTTCAAAAAGGAAGATGAAGGAGCAAATAGTATTTTGCAACAGGTAGGGCCACCATGACACGGAGATCTTTCAGAGAGTTTAAGACAGTTATAGGAAGAAACTCATAGAATCGACTTGACAGCAACGGGTTTGGTTTTTTGGTATAGGAAAAATCAGTTAAGGGTGATCCTCCAGCCTGTTGACAAAAATACAGACACGCATATGTATACGTCATACACAGGGATAAACATACCACACACAGAGGTACACATACCCATACAGACACCCACACCCACACAGAGGTACACATAACCACGCACAGAGACATACACACCCACACGGAGGTACACATACCCCACACAGAGATACACATACCCCACACAGAGACACCCACACGCACACACAAATCCACATACCACACACAGAGACATACCCACCCACAGAGAGTCACCCACACCCACATAGAGATACACAGATCTCACCCAGACCCAGTCCCCTTCAGCTTCTTTTCCACCCAGTTTGGAATACAGAGATACATTCCCACATAAACACAAAAGCCTCCTTCACTTAAGGCACAGACCTCTAGGTAGATGCCATCAGATCCTCATCCCCAGATGTACACTTCCTCACAGTCTTCCTGTGCCTGACACGAGGGACATCAAGGGCCTCTGAGGCCACCAGATACGGTCAACACCAGTCTAGTCAATGGACTCCTCTTCCTAACTGACATTGGCTATGGACCCCACAAACGGAGAAATACTGGTTTGAGTTGAATAGGATATTTGGTGAGTTCAGACTTAGCTTGTGCTGTTTTTAGATGGAGCTTTCTGTCCTCTGTGGCAGAAATTACGTCTTAGGAGTCCAAGTGGTTGGAAGCACGTGGGTGGAGGGGCAGACTGAGCCCTTCTCTCTGTTGTCTGTCTCCACCACTGCCACATTACAGAGCCGTTTGGGGGCAGTCCCCTTCCACAACAAAACACATCATACTGTTGAGCCAGGAGAGTCAGGAACAAAATGTAACTTAACATGGTTTTTCAAAAGCCGAGCGAGCAGCCCTGCAGGGTCTGAGGTGAGCAGGGACTTTTCACAGTGATTGCAGCATAGGAGCACCTGGGGCCAGACCACTCTTTTCTGAGGGGGCACTGGGGACCTGGTAACTGTTTGTAGTGGCACTTTGCTGGCACCCTGCCGCAGGTATCACTGACACCTGCTATTAGATTTGGTTCCCCACACTCTTCTTTTCCCACATCTCCATCTACTCTGGCAGTAACTCGCTCCAATAGGCTCCCACCTGAAAACTGCAGGCCTTTGAGAAAGTAGCTTTTCTCTAGGGCATTTCACACCCAACTAAGAAAGCTTTGTCATGACTGACAAACACCACGTCACTCTTCCAGGCTGGCTCTTCCAGACTTGCTGGCAGTGTCTTCCAGGAGAAAATAGGGGTTTCACTTTCTCCTCTGCTGCTTCTCGGAGTCTTGTGTGACTCTGTCTTCAAAGGAAGACTCCCTCCCACCGTGTTCAGCAGCTGCCCGCTGGTGATGGACCGTATACCTCAGACACTGTTTCTGAGCCAGTTAGTTGCTGTCCAGCCCAGCTGTCAGTTTCTTATACCAAAATAAGTTGAAAAGCAAATTTAATCAGAGTTTGGAGATGGCCAGAATCTGACTTTGGTGGTTCAGTCACTATTTCTTAGATGAACGTGTGACAGGATAAAGAAGAGAAGACTCCAGCCTTTCAGGGCCACATCGCACACACACTGTCTCTCTCTGTCTCTCTGTGACTCCTGGTGGCAGAATCCTGGTGTCTCGGGCTAAAACTGGATCCAGCTTTCTTTTCTCCCTTAGCCAGTGTTACAGCCTGCATTGCCCCAGCTGCTGTGTGTGAGTGGAGCTGAGCCTGGCTCAGCCTATCCCCTGTGAACAGCCTTTAAAGACACAATGATTAGTCCCAAGCATGAGCCTCATAACACATCTTTCTGCCTTTCCACGACCTTATAATGACATAGAAGAAAAGTGTTACCTTAAATACAGAAAATATGGGAAATACAGGCATATACTATGCCTTTGTCACTGTTGGCTGTTCAGAGGCCAAATGAATTAGGTTGGTTTATGGTCCAAGACCATGACCCCATAGGGGTAGGCCCACCAAACATTTCAGTCTGTTTTGGGGGCAAGCACCAGACCTCTGTGCCCACATATAGATCTGGTCTAGGGAGGCCCAGTTGGGCCCTTAATGAGATGAGAATGCAGACAGCTGGGACCTCCTGTCAGCCCCAGGCCTTTCTGGATTCTGGCTGCACTGAATGTGGAGTGTGTGCATTCAGCACTGCCTTTGAGAGCTGCCTGGGCTGTAATCATCAGGTACAGGGTGGCCACTGGTGCCCTCTGGCCATCGATGCACTGTCCTCTCCCTACACACACCCTGTCATCAGACCCTGACCTTGTCTGGGTCTGTAAGGGTAACTCCAGTCTGTCTAGCTCATGGAACATTTGGACTTAAGATTTTGTGCTCCTAAGAATGGCACCTGACCACACTTACTTACTTTCCATTAGTTGATCAAGACCTCACAAGGTGAACACTTAGGGAGGTTTCTGTAGGGTAATGTAAGGTGAATAGAGAACATCTGAGACTTGTTCCTAGGAATTAGGACAAGAATGATAAATAGGACCAAACAAAGGCCTATATAGTTATTTTCTAAGTATCTGGTATTGTCTGGAGCCCTGGTGGGGCAGTGGTTAAGAGCTCGACTGCTAACCAAAAGGTCAGCAGTTCGAATCCACTAGCTGCTCCTTGGAAACCACATGAGGTAGTTCTAATCTGTCCTGTAGGGTCGCTATGAGTCGGAATCAAATCGACTGCAGCAGGTTTTGTTTTTTCATCATTGTACATGCCATGGAAGGATTTACCACCTTGGGGTGGAATGCAGGTGAGACATGACAGTCACGGAGGAGCACGTTGCTGCACCTTTTCCTGCTACTTAGAAACCTGGGCAGCTTTTCTCCCAGCAGCCCTTGCATTATCTGGGGAGTCATCGTGGATGTGACATGGGGATGCTGCTCATCACCCAGGGCAGCAGGACAAAGTAGCATAGGGAAAGAATTTCGGGGAAAAAAAGCCATTGGAACTATTTGGGAGAGTAACGGTATCCAACCTGGAATTTGATCAGAGCCTTGAAATTAATTACCCTCCTCCTGCAGATAGGGCCTGGGCATCTGGAATTGTCCCAGATGCTGAAGTCTCAGTTTAGCATCTTACCAAAGAGGGAACAGTTTCTGAGCTCACTCCACCTTCACCGCATACTCGTGGGATGCCATCTTGGTCGTTAAGGACAGCCTGCGCTGAGTAATCAGGGGGCTGTGTGCACATCTGCAGTGGGCCCACAGCAGGGGCCAGAGTGGTGGGGCTCTGCACCACCTCTGCCTGCTGCTTATTGATTTGGGACCTTTGCCTGGGACTTCTCAACGATGTGGTCAGTTAGACATCACAGAGTGAAACTTAAGCACTGAGAGCAAGGTAGAAATGGTCCAGTGACTCCCAAAGTGACCTCCGAGAGTCACCTGCATTCTTGTTTCTGAGGAGCTTGTGGAAATGTACACTTGGGGCTCCAGCACAGAGATTCTGATTCACAGCTTTAGACTCTGCTATTGCCTGATCAGAGCCCCGGTGGTAGAGTGGTAAGAGCTCGGCTGCTAGCCAAAAGATCAGCAGTTCGAATCCACCAGCCACTCATTGGAAACCCTATGGGGCAGCTCTACTCTGCCCTATAGGGTCACTATAAGTCGGAATTACTTGATGGCAACGGGTTTGGGTTTTTTTGTTTTTTTTGTTTCTTGTACTGCTTGACCATCTGGGTTTGAAAACATGCTGTGGTGGCTGTCTGAACCCAAAGGCAAAGTCGAGGATGTCTGCAGGATAGTGTTGGGCACGCCAGGCTGCTTGGCAGCTCAGGCCTCTAGACGGGCTGCCCTCCTGAGCAGGGCCTGGACTTGAAAGGACCTCAGTTGTCTCTGCCAGGCAGTTTCACTCTCTCTCGGGGCACACACACTTTCTCTGGATGCCCCAGAGACTCAAACCTTTGTTGCTCTAGTTCTCTCAGGCCAGGCCAGGGCAGGCTTGCAACCGCATAAGAAAATGGTGAACCAGAGATGGCTGAGGGGGCAGTGATGGAACTGGGGTCCTACAAAACTTTGAACTTGAAAGATTTCTTCATCCCCTTTCTAGAGCTTTGATAATGGTGATTCTCACTTGGACTCCAGCGAATTCCTGAAATTTGTGGAGCAGAATGAAACCGCCATCAACATTACCACGTATGCAGACCAAGAGAACAACAAGCTGCTTAGGTGAGTGGAGCTAGGGGGTCAGGGAGTGGCCAGCGAGGGGAAGGCTGGGTGGGAGAGCGGAGCTGAAGCCCTTCCTATCTACAGAACAGCTACCAGTGCCAAAGTGAAGTAAAAAGCAAAATAGGAATTCTGTCGTATTCTTTTTTGTTTACATTTGAACTAATGTATTCAACATCAATATCTGATGAAATAATTACTGTTTTGGGCCAAGTCTTGCAAGGAATAGAAAAAATGTAATTTTAAAACAAATCAAGAAAGTCAGAAAAGAGTAAAGTTAAATAAGTTCCTGAGTGATCTAGAATTTTTTTCTGAAGAAATTACATTAATGTACTTTTTAACTGTAGGTCTAATATAACATTAGTTCTGATTTTTAAGGTAATCAGTGCTACTTCATAGAGAGATTCCTAATTGTTATGAATGTGAATATGTCTTTCTACTTTTCCTGGTATTATTCCAGAATGAATATTAATAAAAATTAACCCTTAAGAAACTTCTGGTGTGGTTCCATCACATGAGTAAGAATTAAAAATAGGAAAAGCACCACTTTTGTTCAAAAGAAGTACAAAGCACAAAGCCCACCTTCTACAAGGCTTACTTCTTTTTTTATTAGGGTGAAATACAGGTAAGAACACACAGAACATTTAATCAATTTCTACATTTACGCTTCAGTGACACTGCGTTACATTTTTCAAGTTGTGCAGCTATGTTTGTTCTTTCTCCAGATGATTCCACCAAAGGATTCTTTCTTAATCATAGTCCACAACCTTAAAGTATCAGATCTGTAAATCTTTCATGGTTTTAGAACCTAAAATAACTGAACTTGATCATTTTTTTGCCATTGCAGTGTTTGATTCACAAAGAAGCCCAGTGAGGGAGGGCTTCTTGTCCTCATTTTACAGATGAGGAAACAGGCTCAGTAAGGTTGGATGACTAGCTTAGGACCATTTGGGTAGTGAGTGATGGAGCCAAGGCTCAAACCCAGGCCGAGGGGAGTGATGGAGCTCGTGTTCCATAAAACTTTTCTGAAAGACCTCTTCATCCCCCTTCTGGAACAGTGATGATGGTGACTCGTGCGTGCTTGGACCGCATATTTCTTCAAATCCCATATTGCTGTCATGTCATCTGTTCATATCTCTTCTGTTTTGATTTTCCTACTTAACCCTTATACTATGGGGAAAGGCAATAGCTAATGAAAGGTGTATAGCTAGTGAAAACATTTGTCAGTCAAGGTGTTAAAAACCACTCAGAAACAATTGTCCTGGGAGGAACATTTGAATAGTTTGAGTGATCCGACATGCAGTGTAACAAACTGAAGGTTGGATGCTCATAGTAGTCAAGATGGTGATGGTTGTGGGAGGTCAGTGTGGAAGGAAGCTTTTTGATTAACAGTCACCTTTTGACTTCTTCCAGAGACCCCAGGTCTACATGATAGCATGTACATCCTGCTGTTTAATTCCTTTGCTTCGTGAGTGGAGCCGAGGTCTTACTGACACATTTCTCCTATTTTATTTCAGAGGACTCTGTATTGATGCTCTCATCGAACTATCTGATGAAAATGCCGACTGGAAACTCAGCTTCCAAGAGTTCCTTAAGTGCCTCAACCCGTCTTTCAACCCTCCAGAGAAGAGTATGCTTCCCTCACCTTAACCTAAGAAATACAGGGATTATAAGGGGTAGGGCATTTTGGGACCACAGTAGAGAGTATTGATAGAATTTTCCAGAAGTTGCTGGGTAAATCCCCTTCCACGATTCAAAACTGGACCCTAGCCCTTCATCTCCACAGTGAAGTTAGGGTCCATAACAGGGTTGATGGTGATGTTTGCTCAGACATAGCACCTCTGAGAGAAAGGCAGGACTTGTCTCGGAAAAGGGTAAGGTGTACAGACTGTAGCACAGATGCCCTGTCACACCTTGACAACTAAAACTGTTGCCCCTTTTTTCCTGATCCCAACAGAGTGTGCCCTGGAGGATGAGACATATGCAGATGGAGCTGAGACCGAGGTGGACTGTAACCGCTGTGTCTGTGCCTGTGGAAACTGGGTCTGCACGGCCATGACCTGTGACGGTGAGCTGTGCCTTGGGCAGAAGGAAAGACTAGCAGGGAGAGAGCTCCCTTCATGAAATCACCATTAGCGGGGTTAGGGTGGGGATGATACAGAAAACTGCAGTGACTGGGAGCAAGAAACCCGAGAGAAGTGACAGACTCAGACTTGTAATGTCAAAGCTCCCAGCGGGCAGCTCTGAGGGCAAACCACTTACCCTAGATGCATTAAGGTAAAAAATCACTCCAGAGCCTTGGCATGAAAGAAGACCTCGTCCCAGGGCAAGAGTAAATATTGATAAGAGATTGGAATAATGATGATGATGAAAGCAAACACTTAGTGCAAACTGTGGCAGGCACTCTTCTAAGTACTTTTCTTGTTAACTCACATAATCGTTATGACACCTGAGGAAACACTTTATGTAGAAAACTTAGGTGATTGGAAGACAAAATGACAACTCCTTGCCATACCCAGCGGAAAAAGGAAAAATGTTCTTAAGTGCTCTTCGAACTAACAGAATTGGGTAATCCTAAAAATAGAGAAAGTCAAGACATGGGCAGGAGTGAATTGGGAAGATAGAGGTGTCAGAGGGAATTCGGGGACCAGTGTAGAGGCTGAAGGGTATGTTGAAGCCTCTGGGGTTCCATCAGGCTCTTGGGGCTGCAGTGATGCCAAAGATGATGAGGGACTCTTGAATCAAAGCCAAGTCTCCATCAAAGAACCAGCAACCATTCAGATCAGAAGCAAGAAAGAGAAAGGTGTTGAAGCTAGGTCCATAATGGAGGGTCACATTGGGTTTGCGAAGATGGGTCATTTGGAAGGAATCAGGCCCAAAATTTACACAAATGGGGTGAACTCAAAGTTATATCTTAAGAAGTCAACTGAAGCACGAAAGAGAAGACTGGTACCTAGGGTCATGTTCAAGGTCAGGTACGATTGATAAGTGGGAGACAGAACCCAGGAAAAGGCTCTTCTAGGCAAGGAGCCAGGAAACACCAGCAGTATAAATGGAACCTAATACTAACCAGGGGCTCACCAGTGCCCCCCTGCCCAGGACCATGACTGTTCTCAGTGTGAGGAGGAAGGAGACAACCTAACTCCAGAGATAAGTGAAGGAGCAGAAAGAGGCCATTTAGACACTAGAAATTCCTAGAAGTTGCTGGAAGTCGAGACCAAGCCAGAGTACCCAAACCAAGCACACAGCAGCTACAAAGCCATCAGAGAACATCGCAAAATGGTAGCCCAGGCTGCCTCAACCAGGAAGCATCCTATACTCTTTCTGTTATGTTAAAGTCTAGTGCCTGACTTCCCAAAACTCTTTCCAGTGGCTTGCCACACCTAACTGCTCCTGTTCTGACTTTGTAGAAGTACCCTTCCATTTCCAAGACACAGGTAGTTGGGATGCAGCTGGTTTACAGAACCTTAATCGTGGTCATGCGGATAATAAGCCCCATCACATGCTTCAGACAAAAGCCAAATAATCCTCCCCATGGGACAGTGACCTATTCCACAGTCACACAGGCCTGGACTGTTCATCCCTAGATGGCCCAGGTTCAGAGCTATATACATGGGTATAAAGAACACCAGATGGTGGTGCCTCAGGGACCCAAGCAGGTCTTGGCATACAGGCCATGAATCTAAAAGGAAATTAAGAGGTGCTGTTCCAAGGGATTTTGAGGTCAGTACTGGAAAGTTAGCAGTCTGGTCTTACATCACAAACCCAAGTGAGGCAAACAGGAAAGGGTATCAAGATGTGAAGCCAGATGGTGCAAGAGCCACCGGAAACTGCTTGTGAGGGGCAGATTGATGTCGATGTCAGGACACATGTCCTGTCAGTGTTTGCTAGCAATAGACATCATGCTTGGTCAACATACAGGTTCCTGGGCTCCATCCCAAACCTACTGAATCAGAATCTGCAAAAAAGCAGCTTGGGAACCTGTGTTTTTAAGATGTCTACCATGTGGGGTTTTGTTTTGTTTTGTTTTTAATCACAGTACACATTTGGGAAATGCACTGGTTATCAACCCTGATTGTACATTAGCATCACTTAGAGAGCCTTTAAAAAATCCTGGTGCCCTTGAGGATTGGACAGGCCCATAAAACAAAATGACTAAAGGAGCATACCAGCCCGGGGGCAGGAACTGGAGGGCGGGAGGGGACAGGAAAACTGGTAATAGGGAACCCAGGGTCGAGAAGGGAGAGTTGCCATGTCATGGGGTTGGTAACTAATGTCACAAAACAATATGTGTACCAACTGTTTAATGAGAAGCTGGTTTGTTCTGTAAACCTTCATCTAAAGTATAATAATAAAAAAAATGAAATCTTCTGGGTAGGCCTTATCTTACCCTTGGCTTCATCTTTTTTTATTTTATTTTCTGATTGTAATTAAAGGAAGTTTACATTTCAAGTTAGTCTCCCATACGAAATTTTTATACATACATTGTTATGAGACCCTAATTTCTCACCCCATTCTGCGACAGCACCCTCCTGCTTTCCGCCCCTGATTCCCCATGATCATTCAACCAGCTCCTAACTCTCTGCCTTCCCATCTCACCTCTGGACAGAAGCTGCCCCGTTGGTCTCTTACATCTACTTGACTAAGAGGCACACTCTTCATGAGTATCACTTTATGTCCCATAGTCCAGTCCAGTCCCATCCCGGTCTGAAGAGTTGGCCTCGGAAGTTGTTTTAGTTCTGGGCTGATAGAGATTCCAGGGGCCATGCTTTCCGGGGCACCTCCAGTCTCAGTCAGACCATTAAGTCTGGTCTTCTTACTATAATTTGAGTTCTGCACCCCATTGTTCTACCACTCCATCAGGGACCCTCTGTTGTGTTCCCTTTTAGGACATTCATTGGTGGTAGCCAGGCACCATCTAGTTCTTCTGGTCTCAGGCTGATGAAGTCTCTGGTTTATGTGGCCCTTTCTGTCTCTTGGGCTAATACTTTCC